TCCGCATGAGTTCGATTCCCGCCTGCCCCGGAGGTGACCACATGGTGTGGCAGACCTCTCCTGACCTGCCCGCTGCTCCCCTCAGCAGTGTACTTCCTCGATCTGCCTGCTCTACTCCCCACTCTGTCTCTGGTGAAGCCCCTCGCCACCCCTGAGCCTCTGGCCTGTACCCCAGTTCAAATAAATAAATCTTAAAAAAAAAAAAAAAAAACCAGATGAAATGGGATATTTTCTCCCACACCTCGATACAAATATACCAATAAAACCTATTTCAAGTTAATTACCTGGTGACCACAAACTGGAAGGCCAACTTACGAAGATTACGGAAGCATAAGTTTCAAACTACATTAGATATTTTAAGAGCTAATTTAAGTAAAAGAGAATTTTAGACATAACACCTTTAGAATAAAAAATTGTTTAGTCATTTCCATATAGGTGCCCAAATTTTGGCATTATAAACATCAATCAGGCACTTCTTATAATAGTCTTTATATGCAAATATAAATACCCTGCCCTTTTTGAAAATATTTTTTTTAATTTTCTATTGCTTAAGGACTAAAAAGGAAGCATAACAATTATTTTTAAATGTCAGTTGATGCCAGATAAAGCTTACTTATAATTACAGCATAGCAAGCTACTCCCAAAATAGTGTATAGTATCTATTTTATTTTGAATTTTGGTATTATTTATCACATAAATTTAAAATAATTCTCACATTCATCAATATTCAAATAACATTCTTAAAACTAACTGAATTTCCATTGTTCACTCTTCCACCTTTTTCTAATTAATTAGGGATAAATTTTGTCAACATTTTCTCAAGTTTGACTTACTAAAAACATCACTTGAGGGAAATAGGAATCACACATCATTTTTAATATAAGGTTGCTGTCACACATTTTAAAGATTAATCTTTGTATTTGCAATCCGAAAGATATAAAGCAACTAATTTAAATACCATACAAAATATTATACAATTTATTCTCTGCCAAAATTTCTTCAAAAAGATGCTATCACTAAGATGCTGGTGATAGTAAGAAGCCTTTTCTTCAGAATCCTAATATGATGACTGAATAAAAGCAAATGCTTTTAAACCTCTCTTGCGCCCTCCTGTGGCTAGAAAAAGAAATCTAAATGTAGTGTATGTATATTCCACTTACCCTTTTATAAAACTTGCCTCAGGCAAGTTGTGTCTATTTTTGTGTCATATATAAGTTTATAAAACACACTAGAGGTAAAAATCACCCATTGTTAAATTCCTGAGTATTATATGATTGAACCTTACAATTTTAAATAATTATAAAATGTAATCAATTCTTTATGCTTAGGATAAAAGATGTTAATCTCACAGAAATATAGTCATAATATGTGAAATCTCTCTATAAATCAATCCAGATTTTTTTTCAATTGTTACTACATGATTGATATATTTAAAAAATGTTGGACGTCACTGCCTTCACATATCCATATTCCCAACATTGTCTTTTGAGATGATTTTGTGTATCCATAAACATTTAATACAGGAAGAAAGCTTCATGCCAAAAACCATTTTGAACAGTTTTCTTCTGATAACCCACCTACGAGATGAGTATCATTATAACTCGTGAAATATGTGGCTTAAAAGGACTTTGGTGGATAGTGGCTATTTAGAATTCCTTTCCAGCAGTACATTCATTTCTCTGACCTATAACAGAGAAAGATACTTGATGTAGTGTGAAAACCAGTGAAAGGGGAATTATAAAAGAACAGGATGTAGTAGAAAGGATGAAGCTAAAGGAGGAAAGCAATGCAGGCAGAAAAAGAAGCCAGTGTCAGAAACAGCAGTCAGCAATACAACATCACTGACCGGCGCCTGCTAGCCCAGATAATTTATACAAAGGGTTTTATAAACTTGAAATTGCATTCCTCTGATATTTAGTAAAAAGTCTCATACATCGTTCAATCATTCTCCCAGTGCCCAGTGACTTACAAAACTTTACAATTTGTTAGGAAATAATAGTCTTCCTTAGCTATGAACCTGCTTTAAAAAAAATTATTTCTCTAAATATTTTTGCTTTACTCCTATGTTATATCTGATTCTCTGCTTACCTTCCACTATCTTCTTCTAGCATATATTATCTAAAACCTTTATTCATTCGTAAACCAGAAAACATTTGCTCGAAAGTATGGGATCTCAGAAAAAAATTCATTCTTTGAAGAACTTCCAAACACAAAGAATCACTAATTCCCTACACGCCTCCTGGAAATATTGCTAGTATTAGAAATAACAGATCTCATGCTTCACACAATCAAAATGACAACTTCTCAGAATTGAGGAATGAGAGGAAATCGGGAGAGAGCGGTACTGAAAGTTCTGTTCCAGTATACTCTATATGGAATTGCTTTTCAATGACTCCTGTGTGCGTCAGAAATCCAGAGAGGCAGCAGCGGCAGCAGCTATTCAGAAAGATGTCACTTTCACTCCAGGTTCAGAAGTGGGGGAGGAAAGTGAGGGACAAAAGAAAAGGGGAGGAGGAAGTGGGGGGGGAGGAGGAAGTGGGGGAGGAGGAGGAAGTAAAGATGAAGGGAGGGCGCATCTGAAGATAATCCCTGTGTACTTGTGACATCATCCTCCACCATAGATATATTGGGACTGGCCAGAGCATCCCTCATAGTACAGCCACTTTGAGTCAGCTGAAAACCAGAGGAAGCACTGGAGAGAGTCCCCTTTAGTGTGACTCTGGCCTGTCTGAACTTGGCTTTTTAGAAGGTTCGCAGAGATGATAGCAGGAATGAAAACCCAGCTGGTATGCATGATGCTCCTGGCGTTCAGCTCCTGGAGTCTGTGCACAGGTAAGCTCAGCTGCATTTCATAAGTCCCTGAAGTGATTTCTTGTTCCTTTCCCCCCCAGTATGTTGTTACATTAATACATCCAGGGAGAATATTTTCTCCTTATTCTGTATTTGCAACTGAATGTTTTCTTTTTCTTTGTGATTATAAGAATGGAGAGATTTATTTTCCTCTTTATGTTTGAAAAATAACAAAAGGGATTTCAATGAAAACTTCATGATCCCCTTTGGAAGGAAATCACTGGGGAAAAAAATTAACTGAACGCACACAAAAAGCTTAATTTTAAGCTGGTCTCTGTCATGCAAGGACAGATGAAGTGGAAACCCACAATTAAATTTCATTCTATTTAAATGCTTTATCTCATCCTCAGTCATTCTCTTAGAAGGCAGTAACTTTTTAACTGTGTGTTAGGATAACAAGTGAAAATTGTTTTTTGTTGAATAAATGCATGGAGCATTTTTCATAGAAAATTATTTCTAGAAAAATTCAGAAATATTCCAAATCCTCTTGAAAACATATTTAATAGACTAACAAGCAGGCATACTGTTAATTTTTTTGCATGCTCTTTCATTTGATATAAAATATAGTTGAAAGTTGACATCTGTTAGTGACGTGTCCAATATGATAGTATTTTGCATGTGATAAGAAACCATATAACTAAAGAAACATGGAATAAGTACAAGAATCAGTTAACTTGCTTTAATGCTTTTATGTTTTATAATTATGAGATTCATGCTGTGATTTTTTTGATGATGATGAAATTAAATCTATCAGCACATAATGTATTTAGTAAAATGTTTTTATAATTATAAAAAGATCTTTAATTTCTAACTGAAAATTTTCTACTAGGTAAGTGACTTCTACAACTATGATTTATCTAAATTATAAAAGATTAAAGGTGTATTTTGAGAATGTGAGGAAAGCTGCATTACTAATGGAATACTTTGGTTGTTAAGTGATGTGATAAGTCAAAATTTATGGGATTTTACTATATACTTTTTACAAATGACAAGTAGAATTCGTCTTATTTTTAAAAAACAGATTGGTTCCATAGAAAGTAGGAAATAAAGATTGCAGGTATAATTTACTTTCTAGATAAATTTTAACCAATGGTTCCTGCAAATGTATCATGTCTTTTTTAATGAGAGTTTGTAAGGCAATGAGAAACACAGTCATTTTAACTTTTGCTTTGTTTCACATAGATCAGTGATTATGGTGTTCTATAACTTCATATTACTTTATAGTATTTGTTTAAAAAAAACACTTTCCCCTGTGAAATATTCATTCTTAGAAGCTGGACAGGATATTATTTTTTAAAAAAATCAGGAATTCATTTTTAATACATTGTATGTATGTCAATAACAACTCTTCCTTTACTAGAATAATTTCCTGGAATAAAATTGCTAAATACACATAATCCCAAATTCTTGTTTAAGATAAACAATTCTCTTTAAATATGTTTTGTAAAATGACATCTCAAGTTAAATAAGTTTGTTTCTTATTCAAAATCTTCAATAACCAATTTCCTTGGTTTTTGTCTTCAAAAGGTCTTGTGTGTACATCTTTTTATTATATTGGTTTTAAATATCTATGTGCATATTTCTACATATGTAAACTGTTATTGGTAAAAAATTAAACTGTGTAGTATTTGGTGAAATCACTATTTACCTGACATAATCATATTTTTTAAAACTGAGATTCAGATATTAAACAACTCCAAAAGATCACTATCTCCCTTGGTACATTGCCCTGTGCTCCTTTTCTTAAAATTGCTTCAATTATTTTACTTGCCTGTAAGAGTAAAAGGAAATTATCATCATTTGCTTTAAATACCAGTGAGGGAGAATAAACAGGAAAAGTAGTAAGTCTCTAAGACAATTTTCTTTTAGATTTATCTAAAATCTCTACGTTACATGATTATATATGTGTATGTGATCATATAGTAAACATGTGGTTTTAATTTTACTCAGATTCAGAAGAGGAAATGAAGGCGTTAGAAGAAGATTTATTGACCAATATGCACACATCAAAGGTATCTTTTTCTTTCCTTTAGCCAAGATTGAAGTACAGGTGAACTCTCATCATAAGCATGGCATCCTTTTCCTATGCTAATAACTTACCATGGAGACTGAAAAGTTCATTGGGTGGCATTTCCTTCTTGGGGAAACTTTCCTTAAGTTCAAAGGAGTTGAAGATGTGGATGTGACAGGGAAAGACATTATGGTAAAGATCAATCATTATATTGCAACTTTAATTAAGTAGCCACATATTATTTATGTGGACAGAGAAATGTATTTACAGAAATCTTGTTTCCATTTCTATTATTACATTATATATGGGGAGCAGTAGAATGGCCTCAGGTTAAACACAAAAATGAAAACTGACATTTTTACTTTTTTTATTGCATTGGTGAAAGTAAAATGGAGCTCCTAAATTAAAAATGAAAGTTCATGACAATCCATGAAAAAAGGTGGTAAAAGAAAGGTAAAGAGTATAGACAAGCAAACAGAAACTGCCACTGTGACTTATGAACTACTTGCACTTAAATAAGCGGGTTAGTTAACACTACTTGCCTCCTTATTTTTAAATGTGGGGGTTAGAGATCACAATTTCTAATTAATGTAATTCACATTAAATCCATGCTTGATTTTTTTTTTGAATAACAGAAATGGCATTTCTGTCTGCGCATTGTCTCCACTAAACCAAGTAAAGCTTTGTATACCAAACCCTATCATTCCTCTCTCAAGGCTTTGAAGCAAGTCTCCTAGACCACAGCCTGTACACAGGAATAAAGCTCCAGAAGATACCAGATTATCCTTTTCCTAACTTTTGTTTGATTTCTCTCTATTCCACATATAACCCCTTCCAGCTCCATGCATGTGGCCTGAGACACACATCAGGAAAGAGCAAGAAGAAAGGGTTAAAACTGGGGAGAGAAGAGCCTAGGGACAGAGAGAGGGGCCATCGGGGCTGAGGGAATGGGAGAACTATCAGGACAACACCTGACGGGAGAAATCAAATAATAGCCAAATCATAATAATGGACGGAATAATTACATTATTATTATAATTTTATAATGTAAGAAAATCATCAAAAAAAAATACACCAGATTACACTTGCTGTTGTGCAACACTGATTTACCCAGCGTGAGTCAGTCAGTATATACCGAACTGTAGGGTTAGAGTACAGGGTTCACAACCAAAAGATTTTTCTCAAAGAAAAACAGATCACGAGGTGAGGCCGTCACCTGGTACAATCACTGCCAGAGCATTCTGGCACCATAGCTAAGGAACAACAGATGTGGTAAGAAAGGAAATGCTTAAAATGTCCATCTGATTTTTCAAGCGATATTCCAACTTACGCTCTACCACTGTAGATTTTTCTATTGGCCAAGCACATTCTTGGTGTAGCAACCTGTAGTATGTAAGTGGAATTATGTCTGTAATGGCTGTGAGAGAAACTATTTTGATATTTCCCCAGGGACGGCAGGGGGTGGGAGGGAGAGACGGCATTATTATTGGAAAACTAACAAAGGTAATTTTTTAAAGATTGATTTATTTATGTATATAAGAACAGGGGCACAGGCCAGAGGTACTAGGGGTGTGGGGATTCACCAGAGACAGCAGGGAGCAGAACAGGCTGATGTACTGAAATACACTACTGAGGGGAGCAGTGGGACAGACAAGTGGGAGAGGTCTGCTGCGCCATGTGGGTCACCTCCCTGGCCAGGGATCAAGCTCATGCTGCAGCGGCTGCTGATAGCTTAGTAGTGTTACGCTTTAAGCCGTTGGGCCACCAGGGAGGACCCCCCAAAGATAAATTTTTAAACTGTATTCCTTAAGACAATTTGGAGAAATGTGAGTACATATATATTTGCACAGTGTATGACTGCCTAGATCTAAAAAAGTTTAATGACTTGAAACTGAATTCTATCATAATTAACCGGGTTTCATATCAGGAATTATTAAATTTACTTTTATCACATAAAAGTAAATATTGCCTTTGTTTTCTTCTGTGTGTTTCTTGTCAGGTATTATATTTAATTCTGTAATCCATTTGAGTTGGTTTTGTGTATAATACCTGATACTGTTAATGAATTTTCCTATCTTGACTTTGTGGCCATTCACATCTTTTCTTTATTACCTTTAGGAAAAAAGTTTATGCTTTCCTCATCTATGCCCACCTTGAAAGTTCTGCTAATTTTTACTATTTCATATTTTGTTTATTGTATGTTCTTATGCTTTCTCCTTGGTTATTGTTGGCATGTCAGAAGTTGTTTAGTAAGAATGGTTTTAGACATGAATTTATTAGATAAAAGTGGTAGTTCTAGAAAATATTATAAATTGTAAATAAATAAATTGGTCTACTGTGATACTGCTAGTGATGATTATTAACCTGTGGAATGTTTTTATTACTGGTGTGACACCACTGTAATTGTCCAAATCTATTAATGTCATCTTAGTCCCTGCTCCACTAGACACTAAATTAAATGGTAATAGAGAGTGGCATTTTTAATATTTTCATCTGTGGTGTATACATACATGACCTATTATTCCTGTTTTTGTTTTTTGCTTTGTTCATGTATCTATACAGACATGAGTATGTGAATATAATTATATTGCATCTTTTGAATAAAGGATGTGAGGTTTTGGTGCTATTTAATTTTGTGATATGAAGCTACTGAATTAATTACAGTGTATGTACTAGACTTGAGTAACAATTTCACTCTAAAATGTAACTACTTAACACAGTAGAAATTCGTTTTTTACTGATACAATATAAATTGTTAATTGCAGTATCTGTTTTTTGCTATATTCCAGATCAGTAAAGCAAATGCTCCCACTTGGAAAGTGACCCTGCTAAATGTTTGCAGCCTTATTAATAACTTGAACAGCCAAACTGAGGAAACAGGAGAGTTTCGTGAAGAGCAGCTTATTACAAGAAGGAAATTACCCGTTGCCTTAGATGACTTCAGCTTGGAAGCAATGCTGACGGTCTACCAGATCCAAAAAATCTGTCACAGCAGAGCTTTTCAACACTGGGAGGTAAGACTAAAACAAAATATAATCATTGTTTACACTAGTTTTAATTTTATTTAAATTGTGTCTTGATTTTCATAATAGGAAAAACCGAAAATAGTAAATAAGAATAAAATGTGGTGAGGTTAACATTGGGACTTCAAGGTGTCCTTCAAATATTTGGAGAATAGCAAAATATTCTTTCCTCAACGTTAAAAGGGGACATATCTTACGGCAAATATGATAAGCATATTTTAGTGTATTTAAATGAATGAAGTGCTTAAGTAATATTTGGGAGTTGTAGAGTACCTACATAGTTTAGGGAAATCAAAAATACTTTCTTTGAAACATTTTCTATGTGTTTGTCTATAAACAAAAACAAAAGGCCAAAAGGTTACTTTTGTCTTTGAATAGATTATGCAAATAATATATTACACAAATTCTCTGCATACATACATACATTGTGTTTGTGTGTGCTCCCACTTCAATTAAGTGTGTAGATTTTTAAAAATTTATTTATGCATAGGAGAACAGGACTGTGGCTAGATGATCAGAGCTGGGAGTAGGGGTGATATGAGAGGATTAAGCAGAGACAGAGTGGGGAGCAGAATAGGTACATCTACTGAAATACACTGCTGAAGGGAGCAGTGGGAGAGACAAAAGAGGCCTGCTGTACCATGTGGGTATCTCCCAAGCTCAGGGTTGAACTCAAGCTGAAGAGATGATAGCACTGAGACTTAACCCCTGTGTCTCCAGGGAGGCCCCTAAAAGTGTAGATTTCAGGTATCCTTAGCCATTGATCCCAGGGCCACCACAGCCAGGACAGTCAAATTCCACTATACAGAATGTCAACAAAGGACTGCATAACGAGTATTGTTCAATTTTTAATTAGTGTCACACCACCTTTGTTTTAGAAATGTCTCTTTGGAGAAGGGAAAGAGAAGTGAAATTTCCTTAAAGAATAAAAGGAAGAAAACAAGAACATTTCTCTAAAAAAAAGTTAACATCTCTTTCAGATTCACCTTTAAGAGAAATTTACTTAAGTTTTTATGTTTTGGGCTTAATACCAACAGTAAGGATCTGAAGAGCTTTCCTAGCTAATATAACAACCTCAGTAACTGACTATTGTTGGGTTTCAGAATTCGTTGCCCCACAATAAGCCAATATGACATATTGATAATTTCCAGTTACAGAAATGTGGTTTTGAATCATTTAGTGTTTTCATATCTTGGAAGCACTATGCACATGAAATTGAACTAGCCTATTTTCTTGCAAATATCTCTTGCATCAATTTGAGGAATCAAAAGAGAAAAGAGGGATATTCTCAGAAAAATTTCCACATTATAAATAGGTATACCTTATAGAAAACAGAAAATGTAGAGCAGAACCTCTAGTATTTATTCTAATTTATAAACAAAAAAAATGATGTTTTGTAGAGAAAAAACAAGAAACATTAATTTTGATTTTACTTACTGGATTTTTCATCCTTTAATTCCAATTTCAGCCAGTTGGCTTAGTCTTTAAAATATTGTTTAAGCTAATATAAAGTGAAAAGTACCGATTTTAGTATAAGGAAATAATCAGTTTAGCTAGGATAAAAGCCCTCATTAAATCATGATATAGACATATTAGGTGCACAGTGATTTTAAGTCCTATTATTTTAAAAGGGATTAAGTGATTGAAAATAAAATGATAATGTCATTCAGAACATAGTACAGGTACTTATATATTATACACAAAAAGAAACAAAAGGTTAGGAAACTGGAGTCTGACAGCTGTTTTACCTTCTCAGAAATTGAATGGTTGTGGGTAGAAACAAAGTACTTAGTGATAGATTCAATGCTTATGTATTATAATTTAAAAGTTTACTATCAAAATAAAAGTGATGCCAAAACTTCTTATAATGCAATTCTTGAGTACTTTTTAAAATTTCATGTATATTATATACAAAATTCTGGAAAGAGTCCCTAAATATTTTATGCTAACTGAAAATTTTACATCAGTGTTATTGGAACAGCATTATCAGAAAAATTGGAAATAATTGTATAATGGGCTATGTTCAATAAGCTATTAGGCAAGATTCTAACTGGAGATTAACTCTCCTGAACTACTAAATTTGAATTTGCTTACAATTATTAAAACATCACAACCTAATGTGACTTTACCATTTAAGTAGAGCTATCGCATATGTTAATTTCTACAACTGAGTAAGATAAAGCAAATATTCCTCTCTGATTTAGTAATAAATCTTTAGAATTGCTTTTATGTCAAATAAGTGATTGAATATAAAGTCTACTTGACCTCTGAGATCAAACTTGTTTTCCTGAAATAAAATTCTGTATTTATTAGGACCTATAACAGTTTCATTGCATTTTTGTCTTTTTATATTATATAGAAACCTAAAAAATATACAAGGGTCTAATAGGAAATCTTCAATTAGAATTAGTTCATGGTCTTAAAGAATTTTATACAAAGACAGCTAGCATGATGAAATAAGAACAGAAAGGAGTCTTTAAAAAAAAAATCCTTCTATCTCAGCTAATTGAAAGCCATTTGTCCTTGGGCGAAACACTTAAGTGTTTTGAACCTCATTATGTTACATCCATATATGTCTTATTATCAGAATAAAAAATGAAAAAAAAAATGGAAATGGGAGATTTCATGTATGAGCTTCATACATATTATGTCTTTTTTTGCAGGTAATGCAGGAAGATGTTCTTGACATTGAAAATAACAAAAATGAAAAGGAAGATGTTATAAAGAGAAAAATCCCTTATATTCTGAAACGGCAGCTGTATGAGAATAAACCCAGAAGGCCCTACATTCTCAAAAGGGGCTCTTACTACTACTGAGTGGATAAATGTTTTATTTACATGTGATTGTGGTTTATCATCTTTTAATTAAATATCAAATGGATGTGTGTAGAAATGTGGCAGTTATTTTGTCTCCTCTACAACTATGGTTTATTGGATGTGATTTTTTCTGTATTAACATGAATTGAACTAAATGTTTTCAAATAAATCTAGATCTTGAGCATGATGTGTTGTGTGTAATTGGAGTAGATATTAAGTCCCATGTAGAGTGTTTTGTAGCTTTCCAAATATTTAATGGGTTGTTTAAACTGTCAAATACTTGGTAAATTAAACCAAATCATAAGGGATTATAAAACAATCCTATAGCAAAATCTATTCTGATATTATCGATGCAAAATAATGAAATAACATCTCTTTTACTACTTGCATGTTTTATTACATTGAGAGTCATACTTGCTCTTTTCCAAGACTCATTTATGCAGCTCTCAGATAAGAGTAAGACAATAAGACCATTATAAAAGAATAAATGATAATCATTAATTATGTGGATCTTAATGATTAACCTTCAGCTGAACTTACTTTTCTGCTCAATGAAATTAATAGCTAATAAAAAACTAAGAAACCATCACACTGCGTTTCTCTGCAGATATACTTCTAGTAGAAAAGCTACCCTTTGTGAACTTTTTCCAACTTGCTGATCCAGTATATGACAGTTTTATTTTTAACTTTGTGGATTAAGCTTTCCCAAATGAGAGTATTTTTAAGGTAAGAAGAATATTTAAAATAGCTCCTCATAAATTTCCTTTATGACCACACTATGCTCTCACTTAGCCCTTATGGCCTTTGCATACTCCAGTAGCACTAACTTCCTAAGGATGTGTGAAGATGTCTCTTCTCTGCCTGCAACCGGGGAAGGTACAAGACTTGTCTTGCTCTAGAATCAAGGAGTCTTTTTGCTGAGATTGCCCCTCCCCTAGGCGAAATGCTACTCAATAGGATTTAAAAGTAGCATTACTTTTAAATTTTTAATTTTTCTACTGACATTTGTATCCATCTACATGCACAAAGAAACCTTTTTAAAATATTAATTGGATTATACCACATATTCCTTCTCAAGACCCCAAAATGTCTTTCTATACTTTGAATAAAATTTGCCTGTTCTGCTCCCAGCTCTGTCGCTGGTGAAGCCTCTCACCCTCCCCATGCACCTGGCCTACATCCCAGCTCGTGTAGGCTTAAAGAAAGAAATATTGAAAAAAACATAGAAAGAAAGGAGGGGAGGAGAGGAAAGGAGAGGGGAGGGGAGGAAGTGAAGAGATCAGTGCAGCACCTGTCAAATCTGATGTGTCAAAATTAACTGGCGGAAGCCCAGGGCGCGTATGACAGTGAACGCAGATGCTCAGGGCTTGGGCTTGGTGCCCAACTTTCGTATATAGAAGCAGCAAGAAAGCAAAGCACATGCAGCCCAGTGGCTTTAGCAAGTTCCCGGTGCACAGCGTCAAGGAACGTTAAGTGCCGTTGATGGGGAACAAGGCGCCTGAGATGGCTCATAACCGTCTCCAGGAACCGCAAAGCCACTGTGGGAAGAACCGTGCGACTTGGCCCTCCCTCGCCATGTCCCAAAAACCATAAAACTTCCTTCCAGAATTTCCCCTGGGGCTTTAATAAAAAATAAAAACAGAAAGAAAAGTACCCTCTGACAGCCATTAGCTGGGGCTGGCCTGACACTAACAACTAAACCACAAAGTTCTGTTAAACAGTTTCATAGAAATCAAACTTCAGACAGGTTTCTTTTAACTAGGGTGGCAAAAAAACAAACAAATCCATTTTTATAATTATGTCTGAGCAAACACAAAGACAAGATCACTGTAAACCACAGAAATGATCAAACATCCTCCTTTCCCACATAATTTGAGTGGCTGTTGAATCTTTACTAAAGACTCTTTCACTCAGCTCCATTTCTCCACCTCCTGGTGGAAAAACTAGTTTAATCATTAATTATAGAATCACCCTCACTTTCAGAAAACACCAAAACCAGAGAAAAACTACACTTGGAGAATATTCCCCAAATCATGTAACAGCCCCATTGAAAGCCCATTAAGTTTCCACAGCATGAGATATTCAATGCAATAAACTCATCATGGGCCCTTCCTGGTGGCGAAATGCACTAAAGCACAGCACTATGAAGCTATCCCCAGCCACAGCAGCACGAGTTCCAGCCAGGGAGCTGACCCACATGGTGTGGCAGACCCTTCCCGTTCCACCCACTGCTCCCCTCAGCAGTGTCTTTCAGTAGATTCACCTGTTCTGTTCCGTGCTCCCCATTGTCTCTGGTGGTGAACCCTCTCAACCCCTGCACCTCTGGCTTGCACCCATTTGTCATATGCATAAGTAAATGTTTAAAAAAAAAAAAAAACATGATCAACTCATCATGTGTGAGTGTGTTCCTAGCAAATAGCACACACACACACACACACACACACACACAAAACTAAAATTATAGTTATTTGTTCATTTTCTTATTTATATCACCCTTACTAGGATGTGTTAGCCCAGGAAGGAAAGGGATTATTATTTTTTCCTTCTTACTTATATCCCAAAGGTCAAGCATCAGGCCACATAAAGGTCAGTAAAGATTCATTTCATAAATTCATTTGGCAGCAAAATAATTCTTCCTCTTAGAATATGAGGTCTTAGATAAATTTTTTTACCACTTTTTGAGCCCCACCTCACAGTTTACATTTCAGAAGAATTGGCATTGTGAAAAACAAATATAAGTAGAACATTTTAAAATAGGACTGAAATTATCATGGTGGAAGACCAGTGAACCCTTGGCTTGAGTCAGGCAGAATCCCTGTTTGAAACTGGTAGGACATCCTGATCACAAAGACCTAAACTATGTACCCAAATTCTAATTCTTTAATCTCAATTAAATGCTCAACTAACTCTTAATCTGCATTTTTAGGCTAACAGTAAAAGCCCAAGTATCTGTAAGTAGTTCCTGATCTCATATGAAGCAACACAGAATCTGAGAGGTTGAAGCTTCCTTTCACTAACAATGGCAGCCTAGGAAGATTATTCCCTGTTTTCTGTCTCTTGTGAGATCCCTTGTGAGATGAGATCCCTTGTGAGAAAGAAACAAATGAAAAAGCATAAGTGAAATTGTGAACACATTTTCTTTAAATATTTTATTTATTTATGAGTACAAGACCTGGGGTACAGGCCAGAGGTATGGGGGTGAGAAGATTCACCAGAGACAGTGTGAGGAACAGAACAGGTAGACTGACTGAAGTACACTGCTGAGGGGAGCAGCAGGAAAGACAGGAGAGGTCTGCCGTGCCATGTGGGTTACCTGCCTGGTTGGGGATGGAACTTGTGCCACAGTGGCTGAGGATTGCATCACCCTGCTATGCTTTAACTCCTTGTACCACCAGGGAGGCACTCTGCATGCTTTTCTCGAAATAGCTCAAACTTCTTTAAGTTAGATACTATGTCTTACTCATCTGTATTTTATTCCACATTATCAGACAGAGTACATACTCATGAAAACATCTGTTGAAAGAATGGATCATTACATAGCTGAGATAGGCAATAATTATGTCTTTTTCCTATTCTACTATGTTGTAGAAAACACTCTAGAGATAGGCCTTATAGAAATAACCAGATCTAACCCTTTATAGACCCAGCTAGAAAATTCCTTGTGATTTCAAATATTCCATTTTCACATATTCTTATTTCACCATGTCTGTACAGCTATCCCCAAATTTTGAATGATATCAGCATCTCAATATGATAGTGGTATAAGAAAATCACTTATTCCACACAAGTGTGAGGAATTTAGCAAATTCCACAAAACTTTGCAATCTCATTGGTCTGATATCCATCTAGGGATCATCTGAAACAAGTATTTTCTTATAGTTACCAGCTACCCTGGCCAACATGTTGAAAAGCATAAGTGAAATTGTAAAAAATAATAATGCCTTCACAATTTGTTGCAACACCAACCAGGATCAACACAAACCAGTTTTTCTGATTAAGAACAGTTTAAATGGGGCCCTCCCTGGTGGTGCAGTGGGTTAAAGCACAGCACTGAGAATCTAAAGCCGCTTCTGCATGAGTTCGATTCCCGCCTGCCCTGGGAGGTGACCACATGGTGTGGCAGACCTCTCCTGAACTCACCCGCTGCTCCCCTCAGCAGTGTACTTCGTCGCTCTGCCTGTTCTGTTCCCTACTCTGTCTCTGGTGAAGCCTCTCACCACCTCTGAGCCTCTGGCCTGTACCCCAGTTCTGTATGCACAAATAAATCTTAAAAAAAAAAAAAGAACAGTTTAAATGCAGTTGTGCTTTCTGTGACAGAAAATCTTTCAGAGCTTTGAAGATTTTTGCAAATGACTGCATCTGATGTTTACCTTTCTCCTATTTAATCTACTTCAGGCTTTTATAGAGCATTCAATATATAGACATTTAGGAGAAGAATTCAGGTAAATACTGAAATCCTAGCAGCAAGTGAACTTAAAGTATTCTCAGAAAGAAACTGGGAAATAAGTGTGGGAAATAAGTGTGGTGTGACCGCCAACTTTTAAATGGTAGCTGGTGAAACATCATAATGTGTGCTTGCATGGAACAGGACACTGCCTAATGAAAGGCATCTGACATTTACAAGAAAGGCTTCATGTCCCTGGATTTAAATTCAATGAGTGCTAAAGTACCCTTAGTCTCATGCTTGTAAAACTAATTGCTGTTTACTTAAGAACTTACCACCTCTGCAGGAGCTAGACGCCTGCTGTGTGACTGTCGTACAGACAGCGCTGCTGACTTGTGTGTGATTCCTAACCAATCTCTAATCAAGAAAAGCTGTCTACAGACAGAGAAGCTTTGAGATGTTCACTTGATTTCTTCCCGAAATGTCTCACTGGCATCTAAAATGTGCTGAAATGAAACTGAGGCAGGGCAGTTTCTGTTCATCAAAACAGTATTTTTGATGAACTTGGAAAACCATCATAAAGACACCTGAGTATGTTCCAATGCCATCTTTGCTTTTTGAGAACATCGTTCTTTGGAAGTTAAAGACAACATTTGATCTCATTTTCAAAATGTTTTCCAAAAATTCATATCCTGTTTCATCAGACTAGAAGAGTGTCTACTCTGAGGAATTGTGCAGCACTAAGAAATACTTTCCCATTGTGTACAATAATATCCTTCCATGTCCTTA